TAGCGCCTTTTACCGCATGTACCATGGTGAGTGCTCTGAAGAGCTGTTTAACCTCATCCTTCCATCATTCCTGCTCAGAAGCACGCGTGCTGGCCTTCGTAGTCACCGTTTCACTACCTGCCGCATTCCATCGCGTACTAAAAGGTTCGGTGGCTCCTTTCTCTGCCGCACGGTTGACAAATGCAACTCCCTTCCGGCACATGTCTTCCCTCCCTCTTATGATATGGGGTCCTTCAAACGAGGCGTGAAGAGGCATATTGTAGGCAGGCAGGGTGGAGGTGGCTAGTGTAGTGAGGGTTTCATCGCTGCACTAGGTTCGCTTCGCGTTTGGATACCACTTTCCACTTAACATCAGGTGGAGTGGAGTCATTTGCCTGTCATGTATAAAAAAAATAAATAATAATAATTCGGGTCGTATGGATCATCCATTTCATGGAAAATTGGTTCGAAAGAACCTATCGAATCAAAAATTCAACCAATCACCGACGGGCATGCGGATGGGTTAACGGAGCAACGGGTTTTTCAATCAATCATCCTATCCTAACTATCTCGTACGTTACATGGTAATTTTGTAAGTTTGTTTAGTTTGTTTGTCTGTGTGTTCCTGTGTTGTGATTAATATTTTTGAGTGTAATGAACCCCAGAAGGAAATTCTAACTGTAGTCTGCGTTAAATAGCTGTATTGGTATTTGGAAAAAGTTTTTGTAAAGAGTATGATTCATTGTTTTATTAAATATATTTTATTATGTTTCATATTTATTAAAGTTGTGATGAGTGTTTATATACACCGTTTCGTACTTCAGTTTCTGTGGCTTTATTCTCCTAACTTTAAAATCAAATGATTTTAAATGAAAATAATCATAGTAATAAATAATCATAATATAAAAATAAATAATAGTCATTTATTTAGAATTTTAAGAAAACTACTAATAGTATACGTGTTGTAAGGGTATACACAGTACGACGCACTATTGGGGTAATCGTCTGCACGGTGAGTAAATATTATTTATTATTAGGTGATGACGTATTTCTGTTTGACTCTTAGATTTCAGTACCTAAGTAAGTAATAAACTCAGAAAGTCAGATTGCTTCTACGAATTGAGAATAGAAACTAAGCTTATAAATAATGTTTCCTTTCACCTAGCGAGTAAAAAAAAGAATAAGACCGGCCCATAGGACCGGCCGGACCGTAACCCACTAAAAGATGCATCATATGTTCGAATCATTTAACTCGATTACATTTGTCATTGGTCATGACCGATCCGGGTTATAAGAATTTATCGATCGACACAGGTCTACTGCAAAGATCAAACCCACAGAATTTTTTTTGTACCGGGTCAATGAAAAAAATTTTTTCACCCACTAGCTCGGAAAGGCTTTCATTCTCATTAGAAATCTGCGCGCAAAAGCGTTTTTTGCACGCTAGCGTGGAAAAGGTTTTTGAAATTCGAACGTGACGATGGACTGAAATAAAAATGACATGTGCAAATAAGCGACTTGTCGTAAGTACATTACTTTTTTAAGTAATATAAATCCGTTGGTATATTTACTTTCTATTATTGTTGTCATAAATTGACAATGATAACTAATTCTGTTTATTAAATTATTTTAATTCGTTGCAGAACTAAAATAATTTCAATAATCAGTTAATCACACAAAATAAAAGTACAATAAAGAATAAAAAAAATTGATGAGGTATAAATTCAGAACGCATCCGAAGATAAACTTTTTCTTTTAATTTAAAAAAAAACTGATGTTTTCTAGTTAAATTGTTTTTCTTTCATCTACCATTTTCCTCGCTATAGTGAGGTGACAAGTTGTGTATTTCGCTCGGCAGCAAAATTGTTTTGCGTCTCGTGGCTTGAAGCCCTGGCTACGCTCAGGAATCTATTTTTGAATTCAATCTTAGCTTCCTTCGCTTGCTCAGGTTTCAATACAAGCACTCGCGTCAAACAACAACTTTGCAGCCTTGCCTAACAAATAACTGTTGTGTGTTTTCATTTATAATCGTAATGTAACTAGTGGAGTTATTTCACAAAAAATCTTAATAAAAACCATTTATTTTATCACTTTCGATCATGTTATTACTTCTATGAGGTTCTTTCTATTATATTTGCTGTACCTCGGCCAATTATTATACTCGTAACTGTTACTATATAATACTAAATTAGTGACAAAAATCTTTTGGTCCTTATGTCTAAATTATAATATAGGTACTTACGATTAAGAGAATAATAAAATAGTATTACAAAACTTAAACAATGTACTACAAAATATACTCAACAATAAAATTTGATACAGCATAAACTTTGAAATAATTAAAACTTTATAATTACAAATATAGTGCTCTTTAAAAATGCATGATAGTGTAATCTACAAAATACATTATTTACACATATTTGAAATAAGTACATCGATTTTTCAGTGTTCATAACTCTAAACGCTGCGTTTGAAATGCGTTGCCAACTACGGCTAAGCGTAAATTACGCGTCTAACAAGTGACAATGACAACACCTAAAAGTGTCAACTTTATGATACTTATTAAAGCGTGTAATTTTTGCTTAAATTTGTGCCTGGCCTAATGAATTATTTTTGTTTATTCATTTTTGTAACGATTGTAAAGAGAACTATACGAGTGATAAAATTTAAAAAAAGAATGCTTTTTAAAAATTTTATCATTCGTAATATCAAATCCCAAACATATCATTGGCTACTTGACATTTAATTTGTTTAAAAAATATTTAAGGAAATAACTTTAATATTGAAATAAATAATAAATATATATGCACCTACTCATGAATAAGATCATTCAATAGAAAGTAAGACGTTAAAATAATTTATACTTGCTTGTGCTCTGTAAGCACGTGATTTGTAGGTAAGTATTAAAATTAACCAACTTTATTTTGATCTCTTGTTTGGTTGTTGCGTATTTCAATGCGGTAGGTAAGTACTTGTGTTGCGCACGAAGTCTATAATACGCGATATTTTCGTCGGAAATATCTGCGGACTTGTCAAAGAAGTAGGTAATGTAGGTATAATTGCAAAGCGAATAACACTCGTTTTTTTAATGAGTTTGTATGAATGCACTAATTGCACCCGACACGGGCACTGGTACGTGTAATACCATGGATCATTAACTCAAGAAGACTGCTGACTGTTACTTCTAATCTTTATACTACAGATCGTAACTCTGATAAAGGTCAAAATTTCGTCTTGTATCTCTAGATCTGCCCTCCTTAAATGACAAAATAGTTTTTTGAGATATCATAAAACCGTAACCCAGTTTTAGAATATTGAAATTGTTTAATGATATTTCATTTCATTAATTTCAAATGTTTTTACAAGAGAATTTTCTGCTCTCTCTTTTTGTATTTGAAACGGTTATTTGACCTTTTGTCACTTAACCGCATTTTAGTTAGTGGACGGCAGAGATACAAGTTATCTATGGCGCTGATCTATGACATGAAATTAGTTTATAGTATGTTAATGGTCATGGATATTAATTCATTCCTTTTTAATATTAAATAAGTTTGATTATGAGCTAAAATTGTTCTCAGAACTTTGACAAATGTGCATGTTAATAGATGGCATTATGTGTTGCAAACTAATTTATAAGTTAACATTTCGTAATGTGTACCCACATGGCGCTGTTCCTAAACAAAATAAAAGAATATCCGACACTATCCATAAAAATCTGTACAATAAATCAAGATGATTCGTTTGTGGTCACTAGAAATTAATATACCTTTGATAAATTCCTGCTTGCCATGTAAAACTGGTTACAAAAATAGCGATTTGGTATTCGTCGCGACATCTGGTGCACCAATAGGTACTAAATACCCGACTACGCTGTCTTGCATCGCGATTAGCAGTCCATTTGAATTATTGGTCCATGACGGTAATACTTAGCGGGGTGAGACAGTAGAGTGGGGAGAGAGGTAAAATGCGCAGATATTTCCGGCGAGTTGGCATATCATACTAAGGTTACCTTGATCTAACCTCTCCTTTTGGAACACTCAATATCCAGCAATGGACCTGAGACCGATATAGTGACCGTTGATCTATAATTGAACAATCACTAAAGTGACAACGATTAAACTCACTAAACTGCTCAATGAAGCAGCAGCGTTACAAGACTCTGTATTGCACTGGCTGATAACCTCAGCGAAACGGTTTTTCACGTAAGACCAGTCGCATAGGCCAACCTTGCAGCCGTCCATGTTCATCGTTTTCTCATTTTCGAGAAACAAAACTTGATACATCTCGTTGTACTGGAATTTTCCGTTCGGTGTACACCTGAAAAGGAAAACAAACTTTAATTTTGCCAATTTTAATAAAAGTTGAAAATGCTTATGCCGTGTGTAGCAAAGCGTTTCTGGTTTTATGTGGCGATAGGTAAAAAAACTTGACCTATGTCGCATTTGGATTTATGCAGTTTAAAGGGAGACTGTTATTAATTACTGCGAATTTTCCTATGCTTACTTGTAGAGTGCAGCAGCCAAATTTGCGTTGAATGGCGACATGTTTGACGTGCTCCACTTGCGACTTTGCACCATGTTGGTATGGTAGTTGTCTCCAGTCAACGGGGCGGAGTCGCGATGTGTGCCCATAGCAACTATGGTCATGAGAATTGAGGGCGCGTCCGTGAAGTGAACCAGTGCGCGGGGTTGTTGTGGTGGATCTGGAATTTTAATAATCCTTAAGGGCGCGTTCCCATTATGTCGTGACGATAGATAGTCGCGCAGTTTAAAGTGTCGTAGCTTATATATTTAAATAAAGTTGTTCACATATAGTACAACACGATTAATTGTCATTCACGACGTTTTTGTCGTTACGACGACAGACTGTCGTGACAATGGGAAGAGCTAAAACGACAGTCGTTAGACGTTAATAAAACGCCACGATAAAAATAAACCGATAAATTGCCGTCATGATTTAGTGGGTACAGCTAGACACGACATGGTTCAACGATAAAATAACACATAATCGTGATATGGGAACAGGCTAGACGCGACAGTCCTATAAATAAAACGTTCTGACATAAGGGGAACGCGCAATAAGATATTTTTAACGAAGCAGCTTCAAGAACATTTCGCTTTTACATCCGACTTGGGAAAGTGTTATTGCCCTATCCATTTCCACCGTTAAGCAGCACTGCTGTGTCCGGATAGGAGGTAGGGAGTCTTAATATCTGCGGACTGCAATTCCCAATACGGGACAGTTCTTTAGTATAACAAACAGACTTATCCTGCTTTTACGTAATTGCACCAAGAACGAAGCCATAATTGGATGGAGATATTAAAATTTAGTAGTTATGTCCGGTACTTGATATAAGAATGTGATGAAATTCTTACCATTTTCCACATGCTTCGTGAAGAAATCCACCAACTCTTTCACGAGAGGGCATCCAAGTTTGCGATTCGTTGGTGAGCCATATCCGAATTTGTAGTATGACTCTAAATCTTCAGAGTACTCGAATCGTTTTAAATCTTGACGTGTAAACGCCTGTAATAGCAGAACTGAATGTAAGCTAATGCTTAACGGTTATCTAAATGTGCTGAACCCCCAAGGTACATTAAATCAAACCATGTTATTTTCTTATTATTCTTCTTGTTAGGAGTCTACATGTATTGCTACAGTATTCCCGGTATATTCTGCAATAAATTCCTCTCAACTACTCTGGGAACCAGGCAATTAGCCTGTCCATTAGCTCAGTTTAGACACAGACATGACCGAATACGAGATGAATAAACGTGACCAAGTTATATCTCAGTAGGTATCGGTTGTGTTTCCTACAGTGATTGCGTTCAATCGAGAAAAATTGATGAGCAAAGCAGATTGGTTTTCACGATCGCGATAGTTACAGTGTACCTAGTGCAGATGTACACGCTGCTGTCCGTCTTCTGGATTTATCCTTAAGATGCTCAGAAATATACACAGCTTAGTTTTTGTCAAAGTACAAATGCAGGGTTATTTGTAAAATGTTAACAACCTCGCAGGACTATATTACTAACAACATGAACAATAGCTTTGTTCCATGACTTGTGTCGTTCTAGCTCTTCCCATTGTCTCGACAGTCTGTTGTTGCAACGTCAAATATTCGTGGACAACAGTTAATCGTGTATATGTGAATAACTTTATTTAAATATACAAGTTACGACAACTGCACGACTATCTGTCGTCACGACATAAAGGAAACGCGCCTTAAGGTTGTGAGTTTAAATGTGCAAGCGTCCTCGCCCCGACGACCCCACGCGCCGCTCCAGTGGTACTTACCGCATAGAGTTATGATTGTTTAAAGCGGTCTAATTAAATATTTTTATTTTCTTACGAAAGTAATATCTAAGGATTTATTTAAAAGTCATGGAACAAAACGTCACCTTACTTTCTCAAACTCGTATCTTATAAAGAGTGATTATTTAGGAGATGGCATAAGTTTATATTTATTTTAAATTTCTTATCAAAGGTGTAAATTTAGATGCATTATTTTGAGAATATGTAAAAGACAATGTGTGAATATGAAGGAAATGTGATAAGAAATCAGCCTGCAAAATATGTAATACAATCCATTTTTTGCATTTCAGTAGATAACTTTGTGCTTTAAGATACGAGTTTGAGAAAGTAAGGCGACGAAAGTTGTTTACGATATTAGTAATACAGTCTTGTAAGGTTGTTAGTATTTTTACAAGTAATCCGAATAAGCTTTCTGAGATCTCTTAAAAGGCGAATTTGAATAAATGTATTAAAGAACTTACAGCACACCAAGGAGAGATCTGCGAAACGTCCCAAGCCTTGTTGTACCGGCAGATCTGATACATGCGCTGCGCAACCTCCAGACTCATGTCGTAGTTGAATCCAAGGCGTTGTGAAATATTTGTTATCATCTGAAAACAAAAATTTGGAACATTTTGGTCTTCTTCCTCCAAATCAAACATCCAGTGCCTTTAAAGAGTCCAAAACAACGTAATTCGAACTATCAATGGTGCCACATGGTACGCCACGAACACTGACCGTCCATGAATATCTGGAGATCACAACGATTCTAGAAGTGATGGACCTATATAGACATAAACATAGGGATCGGCTCAATACTCCTATCGCTAAAGCACTGGTTGATGGTAGCAACATTAGGAGACTGAAACGACAGCACGTGTTCGATGACTAGGAGAGGCTGAAGCAGAGGCTTCCTCACTCTCAAACGAAAAAAATCTGACGACTGATTGTAGATAAATAATAATGATATATAATAGACTTGTGCCTGATCGATCCTTAGATGGAGCGATCCTAGTTAGTTCAATCGGTCAACTGAACTAGGTCGGTCTTCTAGTTCATTTAGTTCATCTAGTTCCTTAGTTAGTTAGTTCGTCTTTTAAAGACCGTCATTCTAACTAAATATCCTTTTTTTTTTACAAAATAAGAGTTTTAGTTAGAGTGGTGTGTTTAAAAATCAATATTTAGGTACAACTATTTCATATACAGATACCTATAAAAAATATTACTGTTTTGCAAGCTTGTATATATACATAATGTAGATACGTATTAGAGACTTAGAACGAGCTTACAACATTCAAACGTGCATCTTACTCGAACTTGTACTAAAAGTAGTGAAAGATCGCTATTTGAGTGGCTCGCACCGTTTCAACTGTATAAAAGACAGGTAAACTACCAACGCAGACAGTTCCTAGTTCGTACTGAATTAAAACGAACGAAGAACTATTAAAACCGTGCAAGACGAACTAGTTCATGTCGGTCAGTGTAGGGAATAAATTCCTAATAGTTCGTAATTCATGAACTATATAAGCCTAATAGATAACAATGATAGATAAATAAAAAAAATGCCGTCTTTTTCAGTGTCGGCTAATGGTGTACACCTTGTGATGTATTTTACGTGGTATAACTAAAAATCTTTACGGACAGTAAACATGAATAAAGCCATATGAGTATGTATCGTTCCTTACTTCTTTGAATTCTCGCTTCGATTCGAAGATGTATTTCTGAGAGTAGGTTTCGTTGTTCTGTTCAACTGCGCTCTCCCAACCGGAGCACGCCTTATAGGGCTGCAATAGAAAGTGTTAGGTTTATAAAGGAGTGATCACGACTTATCGTTTTTTTTATTATGTACAAAGTGGTAAACATGTTTGTTAAAGAATAAGTCATCTGAATTTTAAACGTTTTAAGGAAAAATACCATTGACTTACAAATAAATGGACGACGGGTCTAATACAAAAACCACGAAAAAAATGTCCCAAGTCAACCCATTTAAACGTAGTGACATGTAAAGGAATATGAAAAAGCTAAAACGTTGAATTTAAATTGTAATGTCATCGCAGTACTGTCTAATTTTGCTTGCTTCGCTGTCAGTCGAACAAACGAAGACTAAAGCGTGAATGACGCCCTGTATACGATTTTAACGCCCTATAAGTTCGGACACTTTTTAGCGCGGACCTGACGTCCATATAATTGTAAGCCAATGGAAAAAACCATGAGAGTGGCGGCAGCGTCTTATGCTTTAGTTACGCTGTTGCGACTTATGTATGATCGAGTATGTTAAAGCGGGTACCTTAGTAGTGGAACCCATTTAAATTTGAAGAAAATATTCCACCTTTAAAGGGGGGCAAACTAGGGGATGAATGACTTGTGAGGTCGGTTTTTAGTACTCTGTACTGAGATTATTATGATTATTAAAACCAGGTACTGCTGCCTTAAGACATTTGCGATATTAGAAATCCTAACACGCACATGTTTAAGTCTCGCTGTGCTCATCCATCTGAAAGTGGTAGAAAAAGGTTTACCCTATTGAGTTCTACATTTTATGCGTTTTAACACCGATATGTGTAGTCGTCTTACTAAGTAGATATCCTACAAATCTGTTTACATAAATCTTATGAGAATAAAATGGTAATCACCCTTAAGAGTTTGTCATCAACTTCTTTCAACACATCCAAATCATCAGCTTGTGTCCTGAAAAGGCCTTCCATGAAAGCTCCGAGAGATTTGTTCGACAGCTTATCGTCCGCCAGTTTGAACTGTAATAACAAACATACATACTTGTTTTAATCATATTTCTCTAATTTCATCATCCACAATAATCTTTTTTATTGGTGGTTTTGTCCACAATTCGCACCCCTCATAGAACAATGGCATAAGTGAAGTTAGGTTAAAAATGTTCATTGTTTCATTGGACACAGAAATATAATCTACATCTTCTCCAATTCTTGTCACTCTATCAATTAATATTTTCGACAGTGTTACAAGAATTGGGGAGGATGTAGGTTATTTTTTTGTATATCCAATGGAGCAATAAACATTTTTGACGTAACTTCACTTATGCCATTCTTCCATAAGGGGTGCAAATTGTCCCTGATTTCGGCAAATTAAGATAGATCATTGCTAATTTGTACTATTTTTACTAACAACGTTTCAATGCATTAGAGATATAGAAAGGTGATGGGCTGCTGTGGTAAATATTAATCAATAGAAATAATTAACCATGTAATCATGTCTGTTGTTAGTCAGAAGCCCAGGGAACTTCTGCCTGAAAGCCTGAGCCAAATGTTGCGTGGTGGTGTACCCGTCACTCGTTAAGTCTCCAGCATAGGTGATATTGTGGCGAGGGTTCCAGCTCCATTGCTGTAGCAAGTTCAGATCTGATGAACATATGCGTTCCTGGAAAGAATATTTTTCATTTGTTAAAGGGTTTAATGACAAATTCAGCTATGGGAATACCCCACTTGAAAGCGTTTTGTGAGATCTAAAGCTAATATTTGGTTGTGTGTTATTTAGGTACAGATGGCCATATCCAGGGTGAAGTTCTTACGTAAAAGTGTATAACTACCGTTCTCGAGGGTTCAACACTCTTACAGTTGGCTACAATCTATGCCTTTCCGTTATCTTACTTCATCCAAATTGGGTCGGCGCGCGGTATGCCATGTGATGACGATCACCATCGTGTGAGTGGTTGCCCTTCGATGTCTTTCTCTCTCCCTTTTGTTTACCTCATCCTTCAGTAGGTAACTTACATTGAAATTCCTATATTCGCCCCTCCTGTAGTTATCAATGATGTTTTTCCTGACATTGGACAGACTTTGCAGTAAGGCGATCTCATTGGCTTCAGGGTTGTGCGATCCGTGACGGTTCACCAGCCAAAGAGCTATCGGCGTGCACCCTGTCAGACAAAAATCGGAATATATTTACAGTTAACAATAATTAGATATTACTGTTGCCCAAAATCCGTCATGATCTTGCAAAGATCGAGCCTAACCTTGCAAGATTTGGGCAAGAACAAGACTAAGTCTGCGAGACTCTTGCGTTTCGCAGTAACTTTTGTATTTCTTCCTAACAAAGATCAATTTATATCTATTCTGTCAAATATCAGTAACCTACATACTACATACCGTGTATGTACAGACACGTAAGCCCCGTACAGTTTCAACATAAACTCAAAGCTTGTTCATGAATACCATAGAGCACTCAAGGAGGTACATTTAAACACACACAACCACCTAAGTCTATAGTGGATTAAAGGACACAGCGGTTCACATGGCAACGACGCAGCAGATAAACTGGCCAAAAAAGGATTGCAGACGACGACGCTGTATAACCTAGAACAACAACTATAAGAAGGTAAAAAAAACTTCTCATCAATACAACCATTACCACAATTAACTGCCTCCGTGGCAGAACGGTTATCATGCCGATCTGTCACGCAGAGGTCCCAGGTTCGATTCCCGGGCCGGGAGAAGTATTTGTATGGCCTGCATTTATGTCTCTCGTGAGTTTGGGTGTAATTTGTAGTTGTCTATGTGTGTGTCCATGGCACCCGCGACACAGGGTTTCCCCAGTACGGGGTTATGTTGAGTGTGTTCGTTATTATTACAGTTTGTAGGCAGACTAGGGACTCGCAAACGTTCAATACCTCAAAAGACAATCACTTTTCAATTTAGATTATCACGAATTCTATGTAATGTGTAAAATTGCGTAATTCTCTTATGTTCTGGACAGTCGTTTTACTCCGTCCACAATAATAACCTGCGCTTTTGACTACGTATTTGTAAATTTATTCCACATAAGTAATTAAAAAAACATACCGTGGAGTTGCTGTCATGAAAAACCCATTTCATAGTCTACGTTATATTGTACCTCTTTTTAGACACGGTAGTGTAGCAGTTTGTGTTTTATCGGCTATAATTTTGTGTTAAGATTATATACGACCGCTTCGTACATCCGTTTCTTTGGATAAAATATACCAGATGCATGAATTAGAAGAGAAGTGATGAATACGTTACTGATTGACTGACTGATGTATTAACTATCAATAAAATATTCATACATTCCCCTTTTACAGCAAAATTGCCCTGGGGCTCCCACAATTCAGACGCTGTGGCTGCACCTTTTTTTATACCGACTTCAAAAAGGAGAAGGTTCACAATTCGACTTATTTTTGTGTATGTTACACGATTAGTCCGAGATTTGTGAACCGATTTGAATGATTCTTTTTTTGTTGGAAAGGTAAGTGGTCCCATTCAAATTTCAACAAAATATTCCACCTTAGGGGATTGGATTTCATCCACTTTCCGTTAACCGATTCCGTAAAAATTGGCAAATAGATGTAAATTCACAAAACGTCGATTTTTTTTAAATAAAAAGTTAAAATTTAAAATAAGTAACAAGACCTCGAACGGTGACAGAAAACATCGTGATGAAACCCTGCTTGCCGAAGAAGGTTCACAACCCTTAGAACACGTATGAAATACTTGACCCGCATTGGAGCAGCGTGGCGGACTGTGGCCTGAACCCTTAGAGGAAACCTGTGTTCAGCAGTGGGACGTATAATGGGTTCACAATAATGATGATAAATATGTTATTACTGTTATTTCATCCCTTAGACTACATGTATTAATTTCGACATAGGCAAGTAACAATAGTTGTCAGGTGACATTATAAATCTGTTTAAGACCCATGCTCTTGTCTAGCCAGCTCGGCTATGGCTTGTGGCTTCAGAGATGTCACCGTATTACTTGCAATATTTATTTAGTGAATATCGTGATATTTTAATATCTTCTCACTTTGAATTTCTCTTTTATTTACTTACTGAATTTTCCTGGTGTGTCTGTGAATGGTCCTTTCTTTCACTTTCCTTCTACCTTCTTCCCATTTTAACCAGGAGGTCTACCACGATATACGATACTACGTGACTGCATCCGCAACGAAGTTCATACGTACTACACAAGTCAGTTTTACGATGAAAGTACCTAATGTCAAAATTCGATACGATAGGCATTAAGAGACGGGACGAACAAGTCGCTCGCCTGATGGTAAGCTACACGCCTGTCCACAACAGTTGCAGTGCCACTCAGAGCTTTAAATCGCAAAGATCTGAGGGGCGGTGCCACTGCGCCCGTCACTGAGACATAAGTTGACAAGTCCCATGTATGTAATAGATAGGTATACAGAAATACTTATGTCAAATCACGACCTTCATCATGCTTCGTGGTAGACCTCCTATAATCACACTTGTAACTACATACGATAAGTCTCCAAGTTCAATGTGAAGGTTTACTGTAGTAAAAAAATGTAAGCTATTACGAAACCGGTTAATGCGACGGAAGCGGAATGTTTGTGTTGTGCGTGGAAAAGCCCGGCTTACTTAGGTAATAAAGTTATTAGTGTCTATAGGTTTATTACGGAGCCATAGTGTTGTCTGTGTTCTCCATACATTCGCCGTTAGTCTAACCATCTTCAATCAATATATCGCACTAACATAGCATAATTTAAAAAATTGCGTTATATTTATCTCAAAATTGCGTTCTATTTTATCTCTAAAATTTCGCTACATTGATGTGTCAGTGACAGGCCAGCCCTGTCGCTTTGAAACTAAATAGGTAATATTAATATAAATTAAAACCGTTTTAAGATAATACCTACTACGGGGCCCGAAATGATGAACCAAAGTTTACTCAATAATAAAAATCACTAAGTTCCGCAAATTTTTTTTTTAAGTCCATCTATGGAAAAATTAGTTTCAATCGATTGTTGTGGGGGGGTTTACCTCTCACCGGTTGAGTCGGCGCCGTGGGATCGGTGAACATTCACCACGACGTCGCCCAGGCTCCCGCGCCAACGGAGGGGCGGTCGGTTGTCCTCCGACCCGCCCCCAGACGAGTTAGGCCGCGCAAACCTGGCTCCGGAGTCCCTGTCCAGAGCCCGCTGGCCTCACTAGGGGATCAGGCGAACAGCGAACCGCGTTCGCCTTCTCCCTATACGTCTGTGCCTAAGCGGGTGCGTGTTCGCCAAGACAATACGGAATCCTGAGGAATCTGTCGTCATATGTTCGGAAGAGTAGCATTCTAAGACCACTCGAATCAAACGTTCGCTCAAGAAATCCGAGATCAAATTGCAACGGTCAGTGGGAAACCCATAAGAGGGAAGTTTACTTAAAAGGCTTGCGTGCCAGACTCTCTCAAAGGCTTTAGAAATTTCCAAAAACACTGCAATTGCAAAGACCTTGCTTTTCTATAGCCTCGCTCCATATGTGACAGGTATACACAAGAAGAACCCCAGTTGATCGCTCTCGTCATAATCCGTACTGGCGATCACTGAGGAGGTCGTGTTCTTCACGGAGACGGTTGTTGAGTACACGTTCCATACATTTTGCAGAGTATGGAAGTGACTGAGATTGGTCTACAGTTGACAGAGTCAACTCTGCTTCCCTTTTTCGGCACAGGTTACACGTTTGTAAGCTTCCACGACCTGGGAACTACACCAGTCTCAAGTGAGAGGCGGTACAGGTGTAGGCGTGTGAGAACAGGAGTCAACACAGGCGCACAGTAATGTAGGACTAGTGCTGGAATTCCATCTGGCTATTACAAGCTTTATTCACGTCTAGATTCCGCAAAGTTCTAAGTACCTCTTTTTGGCGTATGCGAATTGGTGTCATAGTGCAGCCAGCCTGAGGTAAGATTTGCAAAGAGTGAGGCAAAAAGATTTGCCTTGTCTTCTCAGTATAGGCCAGCGTGCCGTCCGGCCTCAGCAGAGCTGGCAATGATGGGCGACAAAAGTTAGTTAGTGACTTTATATTTAAAGATGTTTTGTTTAAAAAATTTATTTGTCAATTTCTGGCGCCGCCATTTTCACTACGCATACACAATACAGAAGCGTGCGTATGCGTACGATCGGAGCGCCTGATCGAACTGATAAAAATTTGATTACTGTAGACGTTATTTTATTTTTTTCCTTTGAAAAAGTATTTGTATAACGGTTTTTGTAAAAACAAACATCGTTATACAAATTCGTGTAAGGGTCGCGCTCGCGCCGCCGAAACGCTGCCGCCGCCGGCTGGTCTATTATCGGCGCTCATATCTACAATACTAATCATTCGAATGCGTAAATTATTCGCCTAAGCCGAATCAAGCACAATCATTTGACTTGAGTCGAATGATTACCGATACCGAATGCCCCTGCCATTATGTCGGGAGCTCGAGTCGAATGATTATTATGTCGGAACTATTGGGAACTCCACAGATCATTCACCATGTCCATATCAAAATATCCATGTCCCCGTCACATTTACGGTATTTACCATATGTCAGCAGAAATGCTCTATGGAATCTATGGATTACTTCCTACTACTAATTAATAATGAATGACCATTCAAAAATCATTCGAAGTAAGTTACTAATTTGTCATTCGAATGATAGGATTAGTAACTACTAACGAGTGGAATATTGAAATCATTTGCAATCGCGCATCGATCGCTAGCAAGCCCGGATTCAATCTTCGGTTCTGACTTTTTGACGGTAGGTCAAAAAGTCAGAACATTACTAAGCTACTACGGCTTACCAATACCAAATTTACGAGCCAAAAAACAGATCGGTCAGTAGAATTCTCGCGCGGAAGAAATTTCGGGAGTTCCTGCAGCTATCTATCATATCTTTCTACGTTATACAATTGATATAACATTTATTACGTTATGTACAATTTCCTTACAAAACTTTACTTCCATTCCTTCCGCGACAATGTGAATTGAGTCTAAGATATCGTTACTTACACAGAGTAAAAATAACGAAAACGAGAACTACATATTCGTCCCATCGTTACTAGTCTTGTATGGTGGCCATGTCAGGGAACCTCATATTCAAAGAGATATTGCGGTTTAATACGTTTTCT